CTGGTTTCTCTCCCTAGCTGGGGGGGGCCCAGTGGGTGGAGCAGGGGTGTCTGGGCACCAGGACTCCTGGGTTCTTTTCACAGCTATGCCCCCTGCTCCTTGTCTGAGCCTTTGTTTCTGGCTCTCGTACCTGGTCTCCCTCCTCTGGGTTCTTTCTCCCCTCCCTGACATGCCCCCGGCCCCCTTGCAAGCGCTCTGGTGTTTGGCTGCAGGTGCTGTGGTCTGGGAGATGCCTGGGGGTCGTCTCTAGCGGAGGAGGCCCGGCTGCCGGCGTCCATGCACTGGGCCCTCAGGATCTGCAAGAGCGTTCTGCGGGCGCCAGGGGCGAGCCAGCCTTCCCGAGCCATGGCTGTGCGGAGCACCGCTCTCCCTGGGCACAACGGCCACGGCGCCGTGACAGCCGGGATCATCATCATCGGAGACGAGATCCTGAAGGTGCTGCGCCGCACCATCCCCCTCATGCCCCAGGCTCCCTGCAGAGATCGGGGCAGTGACTTCTGAGGCTGGCTCTGAACTTTGACTGCCCCCACACGTGGAGCATGGCGGGGGCCCCATTTGGCCCTAAGCTGTCGCAACTCACCCTAGTGTCCCAGGCGAGTTTGGTTCAGGGACCTAGCTGGGACATCCTGCTTATGGGGAGGCCTCAAGGAGCGGCCTGGCAGAAATACCCAGGGTCTGAAAAGTCCCAGCCTCTAGCCCAGAGGTAGGGAACCTACAGCCCAGGGGCTGGCTCTGGCCCCTGGCTTGCCTGGATCCAGCCCCTGAGTCTTAGGGATCCCCAGTACTGGGGAGCCTGCCCGCACGCTCCACCCCCATGCCAGCCCACGGCAGGGCTGGAACACGCAGTCTACTAGGCGCTGGTGTGTGCGGGGAATGTCTTTCTCCTCTCAGTCAGCAGCTGCGTTCGTCGGGGGCCACCTCACGTCACTTGTGTGTGGCCCCCGACTGATTTTTCCGTGGGTCAGCCGCCCTCGACCCAAAAAATGTTCCCCGCCCCTGCTCTAGCCACTGGTCCCCTCTCCCTCTCTGAGCCCAGCAAACCTGGCTCCCAGCCCCCCTGCTCTATACACTAGCCCCCACTGGAGGCATCTCCTGGTTTGCAGCAGGTGGGCAGTTGTGATGTACCGCCCCGTTGCTGGCCCAAGGGATCTCACGGTATTTTTATCTCCAGGGCCTCGTCCAGGACACAAACTCTTTCTTCATGTGCCGGAAGCTGCGGTCGCTGGGGGTGAAGGTCGCAAAGATCTCCGTGATCCCCGATGACGTCGACGCCATTGCCGTGGAGATCTCCTCCTTTGCGGCCAGGTTCACCTACGTGCTGACGGCGGGGGGCATCGGCCCCACGCACGACGACGTGACCTTTGAGGCGGTGGCCAAAGCCTTCGGGGAGCAGGTGCGCCCCCACCCAGAGCTGGTCGCCCTGGTGCACCGCTTCTTCGGCAAGACGGACGTGGGTTGCCCCGAGATGAAGCTGGCGCGTGTGCCCGAGTCCTCGCTGCTGAACTACGGCACGGACAAGAGGACGGGCGATGCCCTGAAATACCCCCTCGTCAGCGTGCGCAACGTCTACGTCTTCCCGGGCATCCCGGTGCTGATGGAGCGGGCGCTGGAGGGGCTCGGCCACCTCTTCCGCAACGAGCGGACCCGCTTCCATTCCCGAGAGCTCTACGTCAGCGCCGACGAGACGCTCCTGGCCCCCCTGCTCAACCAGGCCAACGCCTGCTTCGGGAGCCACACGCAGCTGGGCTCCTACCCCGACTGGGTCAACAACTACTACCGCGTCAAGCTGACCCTGGACTCGGAGTCTGAGCAGCACCTGGAGGAAGCCTACAGCTTCCTGCTGCAGAACCTGCCGCCGGCAGTGATCATACCCCTTGTGACAGACCCTGTGGCGCGGGCGGCCATGGACGTGTATGCCCTGGCGGAGTCTGGTACGGCCTGGCTGAAGCAGCTACAGGAGACTGGCCCCCGGGCGGGTAACGCGGGCACCCAGCTCCTTGGTGCTTCCCACCTGCCGGCCTGAGCCTGGCCCTGCAGGGAGCAGCTTGAAGAGGGAGTGGAGGAGCGGGTTGGTGCCCACGCTCCGTCACACCTGGGCCCCTGGGGAGGCAGCCAGCCCTCGAGGGCCTGGATCTGAGCACCAGTCAGGCTGCAGGCTGGCGCCTGGCTCCTTTTGCACAGGCCGGTTGCCGCTGGGTGTTGCTGGGCTGGGCTGGAGAGGGAGCTGCCTGACCTTGTGCTCCCCGCATTGGCCTGGGATCTGAGTTCAAACCCCCGCTCTGCCACTGGCTCGGGGTGACTTGGGCCTCTCTCTTCCCTGGCAAGAAAAGCAGCCCCTCCGCTCAGCCTGGGTGCTCCCTGGACAGGCTGTGTGGCCGGGCAGCGCCTGACCCCGTGGGTGTGGAGCTCACGATAGGGAAAGGGGCTCTGGAGCCGCCCTGCGCTTGGGCCTCCGTCAGGCCTCGGCACTGCACTGGGAGTTGCCAGGCTAGTGTGTGCTCCCCCTTGGCGTTGGCAGAACTCGGCTGTGGGTGGCATAGGCTGGGCCAGTCCTGGGCACTGGCTCCGTGGTGCCGCCGAGGCCTCGTGCCAGCAGGGCTGTGATAGATCCCCAGCGCAGCGCGAGCCTTCAGGTCACGCCTCTTCCCCCGGCGTGGCTGGGCCTGGCTCTCAGGACCAGGGTTGCTCACCCCACTCAGACCCCCCACCGCAAAGCCGGGCAGAGACGGTCCCTTTTCGCATAGCCCTGGGGGACGGGTGGTGGGCGCCAAGCGGCATGGGGAGCTGGGGGGCGCTCACAGCCCCCCCGCCAGAAATTTAACCAGCAGCCTCCCAGACGGGACTCCAGGCTTGGACCTAGCGTGCCGGCCGAGTCTGCCTCGTCCCCGGGGGGCTCCGAGCTCCACTCGGGATGCTGAGTTGTGTGTAATCAGCTAGTCGAGTCGTCGATGGAATTTCCGTCGCCTACTCGATTAGTCGATAAGGGGGAGCAGCGGAGCCGCGGCGGGTCCATCTCAAAGGCAGAGGGGAAGCGGGGGACTGGGTGCGAGCCGGGAATCAGCTGATTCTCAGCTCACGCCTGGTCCCAGCTACGCTGCTGCCTTCCCTACCCCCCAGATGATGCTGGGGGGAACCAGCTTTTAAGCCAGCCCCCCCACCGGCTCCTGCTCCCCTGCTTGCTGCCTCTCTCTGATAGAGGCAGCAATGGGGAGGGGGGGAAGCGACTAGTCGCTCACATCCCTGAGCCCAGTCCCCCCTGGAGACCCCAGGGCAGCACCCAAATTGCTCCAGTCCCCCCAATGCCTCTCCTCCGCGGCAGGTTCCGCCCTGGGCCAGAAGGTGGCAGCAGCGCTCCGGACCCTGGAAGAGGCCTTGGATCGGTTCCGCCTGGCCCAGATCTGCGTGGGTTTCAACGGGGGCAAGGACTGCACGGCCCTGCTGCACCTGTTCCACGCCGCTGTGCAGAGGTACCCGCTCGCAGGCCAGCCCGGCAGGGCAGCAGCACCTGGGGTGGGAGGCAGGACTCTGGGGCTCTGTTCCCAGCTCAGGGAGGGGAGGAGGCTCCGGGGGGGACCTTAGAAATGTTGCCAGTCCAGCCCCCTGCGAGGCAGGACCAAGGCATCCTGGACCGTCCCTGCTGGGTTTGTCCAACTTCCAGAAAAATCTGCGGTGGCAGAGTCCACAGCCCCTGGTCTGCGAGTTGCAGATGAGCCCCTGGCAGCCTGCGGCCACTTGTCCTGCCTCCTGGGAGCATGGCGAGCAGCCGATCTCGAGAGCAGCCTTGCAGGACGTTCCCGGGGCGCCCCCGC